ATATAATAAAAGTTAAAGGTAATATGTGTACAAAACTAAAAGTACCTTGACATCTAAATTCATTACCCCTTATGTTTAGGATGTAGCTATGCATACCAGAAGGGTGGCAATTACACTTATTATCACTTAAAATGTTATAGTTAGGCTATATTATGACATACCGTATCTAACTTATAACTTATTTTTTGAAACTTTTGGATTGTCATGTTTGGGGGGACCGATATCTTATAAGTTATAAGCTAGTTATGTTGGAAAACTGCTCATATTATCATTCTAACCAAATTATTAAATCCTTTGAAATTATCCCAAATATACCCTCAACAAATGTCACATAAGGATTTAGGTTGAGTGACTATGGGTTTTATGTTCTTTTTATTTATTTTATTTTATTTTATTTAAGCATACCCGGCCTAAACCATGGGCGAAATACAAAGCCAATACCCAAAGTTTTTAGGGGCTATATAATATATAGTTATTATTCAGGAAAATAAATTGAGAATGTTAGTAGCCCAAAAAAGAGGCCCAATTTGTTAGAGGACTACACTCTGGACGAGATTAATGGTGCCGGACGTTTGCGACTTCTATTATTTGTTGAATCACTGCATAAAAAATTCCCTACTCTCCAAAAAATAAAAGCAAACCAAGGCGGATGCAATGTCGACTTATATTACTTGTTCATTTGTGTTACTGTAATGAAATTAGGAATCCTATTCTGGATGATTGATTAGTTTATTTTTTTTTTTCAGTCTTAAACAAACTTTGAGTTTATTTGGATTTCTAGACTAAAAATTGATTGTTCATATGTTTAAGTTTTTTTTTGGGGTTTTAGAAATTTAAAACTGTTTGTTTGTTTTTTTTTCCATGAAAATGGATTTATTATTGTTGATACATATTTGGGATTTTTTTTTTCTGAAAATTGATTTATTTTCTTTTCTAGATAATAAATTCTGTTTTTTTGTACACTTCCATTGATGCAACTACACAAGAAGCACCATGCACCTTATAAATTTTATTACTATATATTTTTGTTCATTGCTACCAGAATCATAAATATTACAATATTCCCTGAAAAATATATAAAGGAAAAAACAAAAAAATGATTGAAAGTTTAATATAATCTAAAAAAGAATCTATGGATAAATTTATTAAACAATTTGGTTAATGTTCCAAACGAGCATGATAATTTGAATTAACAAGTTAACAATTGAACAAAAATAATAATATGAATGATCATTTGACTCCAAACTTCCATATTTATAGTTCATTCAATCATTCTTTAAAAATTTTCTGACTTTGCAATTTTACGTACCATATTCGGCTTTAACTCATTCACTCGTTACCAATACCATTATGTAACAACTCCATTAAAACACCCATGTGATCGATCAATACAATCCACAAATCAACTATAAGCAGTTTTAGGGTTCATTCAACATATCCTCAAAGTTTACAAAAATGCAATTTTACCCCACACATATATCATTAGATAAGAAACAACCCCTCAAAAATTTAGGGGTTAAATAATTACCCCCTTTAATTGTGGTTATTGCTTCTTAGCAGCTTACCTGTCAAACCACAAGAAAGAGCCTCGTCTGGTATCTTCCCCACTAGATGAACCCCTGAAGCAAAAACCACACCCATGCCCATATGCAAATGAGGCTCTATATGACAATGAAACGCCCATACACCTGGATTATCAGTAACAAATCTTAACGCTGTCCATCCATAAGGAAATATAACTGCCGTATTTCTCAATGGAGGGTTTTGCAAGTTGAGTTTCTTTTCATCTTTCTTGGAGAATTTCCCCTCTCCATATCCTAATACCCAAAAGTCATGCCCATGAAGGTGCCATGGGTGTATCTCACTCACATTCGCATTTAGAGCATTCGCATTTTGTAGTATCACATCAATAGTCTTGCCAAATTCTAGCTTGTAAACACCACTCCCATATGTCGCATTGGGGTTTGATGGGGGCATAGTGATATCATATGTGTTAACGAAGGTCTCGGGTGGACTTTTTTGGTCAAAGGCACTAGTCAAACCATGTTTTATTGATCCTAAGTAAGGGGTTGAGGGTAGGTTTAGTGACACATTGTTAATGGCCCATTTGGTATAACCATTGATACGATTTTGGGTATTGAGGAGGAAGATTCGACGATTGTAATTGGTTGGAGGTCGTGAAGACCCTGAAAAGGCAAGAATTTTGTTAGTGAATGATTTGCTACGGGTGTAGTCGTTCCATTGTGGGGTCTTGGGAGGAGGAAGATTGGGTAGTTTTGATGCAGTGGTGGACTTATAGTGTAATATCGCTAAACCTTGAGGGGTTTTCGGTTCTCTTCCTCTCACACCCACTGATATCCAATAGTTATTGGAAAGATTTTGGTCTGTATGAAATAAGACTGAATATGTTTCACCAGAGTATATGTCGAAGTCATTAACCGAAAATGGTTGGAGGTAATTCCCGTCTGCTTCCATCATCACCATCTTGTGGTTCTGTAGAAGCATAAAATAAATCATAAGTCGATTTATTTTTAAATTTGTTGAAAATCATGTCAGAAAAAAAAAAAACAAATTATAAACCAAACTAATTATAGATGCATTAAAAAATTTATAGATAGTTTTAGTTGGACTGCTTTATGAGTTAAAAGGTGTAACAAACATAGAAGAAAGAGATGAAAAGGGATTTGGTATGGCATAAAGTTTAGTTATTTTAAAGATAAAAAGTATTTTCCATTTGTTTATAAAATAAAATATGATGTAATAATATATGGACCTACCCCAATGGCAAGGTTGAGTGAAGCTAAAGCAGTAGTGCTGGCCACTCTCAGCCTATATGTCTTGTTTGGCTCCACATTTAAGATGTTTGGTGCGCACTGTTCATTTCCTCTAAATTTGCACACTGGTAGACTTGAGCCATTGCTATTATGCGCTGCTGCTAATGTGCAATTATATTGTCCTCTTCCATTTATTAGCAAACTCTACAAAATGATTTTCAAAACATATATAAGTTTCTCACTGTAAACACATAAATACATAATTAATTTAGTAGAATTCCTTATAAAATATAATATAAAACTTATAATAATTATTTTATAAATCTTGCCCTCTTCATAAAGAAAGAAACATTAATAAGTAATTAGTTATGCATTGTTTTTTTCCCATCATCCTAATTCCTACCTACTAACTCACTTATTTTGACCATTCCAACGTGTAATCCATCCATCATCCATGTTGCTTTCACTTTTTCCCTTTGCGTGAATAAAAAGCTGCATGAAATGGAATCCGACAAGCATGCAACATTGCATTTGAGTTTTTTTTTTTAGCAATCCGTCTCATCAAACACAATAAGAATTTTATCTTGTTTAAATATATATAGCAATATTCTTTACACAACAGAAATTTAACACAAATTAAAACTACATAAATGATCAAAGATTCAATGTCTTAGCATTTTAAATAAGCAAGTTTCAATTAACTCCAATATGAATTGTGCATCTTGTGGGGTGATGGGGTATCATGATCAACCACCTTACATACCACTGTTTATCTAATTAATATCTCATATATATGGATCTTTAAGACAGGACTTTATGAGCAAGTTCAGAGATTGACATTGATATGTACCTGGGGTTCACCGATCCAACGCATAGGATTGGACGAAAGATCAACCTCTTGTTCATGAGCACCTTTATGCCACCAGTCGCTTAACAACAAGTTAAACTCCCCATCATAATGGAAACTTTCCTTCTTTCCCTCCTCAATGTCCACTATCAACAATCCGTACAATCCTGCTGATCTTTGCATCCCGTAATGTCCATGGTAAAAGTATGTACCCGCCTGCACCCAATCGATATTAACATTTTTTTAATATAACTCCATCAATTCTATCATATATATCATTAAAACTAATGATTTTGATATACCACACATATGATATACGTACCTTATCAACCTTGAACCTGTACACAAATGTCTCTCCCGGGTTTATGGCACATTGTGATATGGATGCAGTTCCATCAGCCCATGGTGTTCCAAGCTAATTATTAAAAAAAAATTAAAAATCAATTTACAATTATGTGTTTGATATGTGCATATGTATCAGGTACATATGACTGAAAAGAAACGTAAGCTTTTAATGAACAATAAAATGAACAGTTTTAATTAATCTAACCTGTCGAATACCATGCCAATGAATAACGACTCCCTCGGTATGGAGCTTGTTTGTAAGATGGACAACAACAGTGTCACCGGCCCGAGCTTTGATGGTTGGGCCAGGGAACTGACCGTTGATGCCCATGACCACGTTTTCTAAGCAATCGGGTGCAGCGTACATGTAATCGACTTCCCATTTGAAATGTCTAGCCTTTGAACCCCAGGCTAACGTCATAAACACCCCAAAACACCATACGTATACTAGCAAACATATGGGTGTAAGTGTAACCTTGCTAGGAGGAGCCATTGAGGTTATTGCAAGTGATATGAATGGGTCAACTATAACGTATTTATATTGTGGGTGGACAACTAGACATTATTCGAGTGGTAAAATTGAGAATATTGGAGAACTAGTCTTCATGCTAGATGTACATGTGGTTAAAGAGGTTTTTGTCTGGATCTGTGTATTGTTGCTCTGGAAGATGTGAAGTCACTTTGTTTTTTCAAGTTCCACAAGATATCACAATATACGATTTAGTGTTTCTTCTCCGATGTTTTTTCTAAAATTGCGACTCACTAATTTGGCGTGAAGTATATTGTATATACATGTGTGTAAAGGTTATATATCTATTAATTAAGGTCACCAAACGACGTATTTTTATTAGTAGGTTATCGATTACGTTTTGTATGTCTAAGTTCATGCGTTTCGAAGTATTGTTTTATCAATATTACTTAGGTCGTGGTTGGTATGTAATCCAAAAATGAATTGAATGCAACATTAGGGTGTAATGAAAAAAATATTGTTTGGTTGTCATGAAGGAATGAGATAAAGCATTTCTCATACAATGCAATAAGCATATTCCTCAAGGTACAGGATTCGTGGAAGAATGATTTTTTTTTTAATATTTTTTTTCTATTTTCATGGAGTTATATAATAATACTATAATGTAGCGTTTGGTATGCAGTAATCGAAGAAAAATAAAATAAAATGGAGCATTACGCTAGAATGAAAAAAATAAATTCATTTGGTTGTCACCAAAAAATCAAATGTAGCAATATTCACGAAATATGAATCTTCATCCCACGTCGTTTCTCATACCAAAGGGGAAATGTTTTTTTTATTACTTCATGGAATCCCTTCTAATTCCAACTCTCATTACATAATTATATTCCTCCTTATGTGATTCCAATTTGAACAAAGGAATTGAGATGATTAAATTATGGTGATTGTGAGCTTAACAATTGTTTAATGCATTTTCAGATCATAAATATTATGGTTTCATTTCCGCACATATCATTTGATTGTATAAAAACTAATTTGAGACATAACTTAATTTAGAAATCCTTTCGTTCCATTCTGATGATGGATTCCATTGGAATCATCATTTAAGTTCCTAATTCCATAAGGATCTACTAGATCATATAATAAGATCATAAACACAACAACTAATCCCTTTTTATGTAACGCCCAGGTTTTCATACTAGGTACATTATAAATTTTTCATTTCTTATTTAAAATTTATAAATAACTTTGGTATACACTGGCATTCTGATATACAAGAAGTTATCACAAAGATCGTACTGGCCTCAATTACAAGATCGAGTCAGACGTCACAATAATCTACCTACAAAATAATTATCAGAGAAACGTAAGCATCACGACTTAGTGAATAACAGTTACAATAATATAATCACATAAATCACATATATCGCAATCAAGTAATCATCACTAATATGTAATAATAAATTATAACAATTAACGGTATTCCCATACTCTTTTATCAACTCTAATAATAATCAGTTTCTCAATAATGATCTATTACTCAGTAATGGTCTATTTCACCACCTTCGGTTTTTTTCAACATGTACTAGGTCTATTTCACCCTCTTCGGTCTCTTGCGACCGGTATCGGGTCTATTTCACCGCTACTACTAAGCATACAATCATATCAACAAGGGTCACAAAGACAACAACCACATACAGACATAACAGTAAGTGTCACAAAGGCAACTATCATCCTACACACATAATCCAATGGGTCAGTATTGGTGCATTCGACCCACGAGTACAGTGAATGAACTCACCTCGATCCGCTGACAAACAAGTAACACTCGGGCTGCTGAACCGGAAATCCCCGCACTAAAGCACAAATAATAAAACCCTAATTAACAATTAGGCCATAAACGATAACCGAGAGTCTAAATCCTTAATCTCGACTCCTAGGGTAAAAGACCATTTTACCCTTCCCTTACTGGGCCTCACTAATCACGGCCCAAAACCTAAAATGGCCCAAGGCCCAGAAATGACCCAAATCCATGAAGACATAAGGCCCAACAATGGCTAAACCCATAAAGACTTATGGCCCAACAATAGCCCAAACTAGTTCAAGGCCTAAAAGCCCAGTTGGTGAGTACGCCGTGCGTACCACCAGATTACGTCCAACATACAAGTCCAAACAGCTAGGAAGAAAATGGGACTCAAACCCAGTACACATAATGTACTGATCGGTGACTTTTTCTCATATACATCGCTTAATCCCTTAAGACCTTAACGTCCAAACCTCATATCTACTTCTAAATAAGGTCTTAATCCATAAAGTCAGAATATTTAAGCCTTTGCATGGTTCAAAGAGGTCCAAATCCTAGATCTAGCATTCTTTCTTCATAAGGTGATCATAAACTTTTACATGGTTGGCCCTCAACCATCAAGATGCAAATTTTATCATCAAGGAACCTCATAAACATCAAAAGAACAACTCAAGACCTCTGGAGTAGCATTTACTCACAAGAATCATCTTATGGGACCAAAGAGCATAAGATTTTCCCACATACAAGATCTACACTAAAGAGCCATAAAGTTCAGAGCTTTATAACTTCCAAAGCTTGCAAAGAAGTTGAAGATTCTAGATCTTCAAGCTCCAACTCAACCAATGCTTCACCACCAAGTTTCTTCTTCTTCAAGGTACCCAAAAACACCACAAGATCACAACAAAGACTCAAGAACACTAAAATGGAGGCTAGGGTTTCATGGGGATCTTTTTAGGGTAAGCAGACTGATGAGGGGGCAGCCTCAAGGTCCATAATGTTTCTTAAATAGGGGCTAAACCCAAAAAATTAGGGTTAGTGGTCTGAGCGAGTACGCCAAATGTACTAAGGGATCCCTATGTCCGACTTAAAGAGAGTACGCCATGCGTACTCCAAGTTATACCTAGTGTAACAAGGACCAAAATGCAAACTTTTATAATTTTAATACCAAAATGAAAGATACCTGATAATCGAGTGTTACAATTCTCTCACACTTGAATCAGACTTAGTCCTCGAAGTCCACTGCTGCAAATAACTCCGGATAATGCTCCCTCATCTCAACCTCAGGCTCCTACGTCTACTTTGAACCCTTTTGGTGCTTCCACTGCACCTTCACAAAACCCACAACCTTGTTTCGCAAAGTATTCGTCCTCCCGTCGAGGATCGCCACCGGTATCTCTATATAATTCATTCGATCATCCACCTGATTGTCCTCTAATGGAACTAATGCGAAATTGTCAACCAAATATTTCCATAGCTGAGAGACATGAAATGTGCTGTGAATCTGAATGAGATCCTCAGGTAGATCCAAACTGTAGAGTCGAAATGTCTTGTAATATGTCGAAGTCTATGTAATTGTATGTTTCGTATGTTTCCTTATGTATTTGCTAAGGCATCTTGTTAACGAAGCTTAAAGTCTAGCCTTAGTATTTTTTGTACTTTCAGCCTCCTATAAATAGGAGCTGAACATAGAGTGGATAGTAGAGTTTTCCCATTTTTACTATCGTTTTGTACTCGTGTTCATTAGAAGTAATATGAGCTGAACCAGACCTTATTTACTTCTCGTGTTCATCTTTACTCTGATTTTGATTCTCATACTCGATTAATCACTTCTACAATTGGTATCAGAGCAGGAATCAATACTGCAAAGATCTGATTTTCAATTGAATCTCTAGTTTTTGAGTCGCGATTTTGTCTCAAAAGTTTCCGCACTGTTAGATTCTGAAAATCATCTCTGATCTATAGTTTTGATTTGATTCTGCTTGTGAATTGTGTAATCGAGTAATCGTTTTTGAGTTTCTGATCAATTCATTCACTCAATTTCAAGTTTCTTCAAGTTTTTCTGAAAAATCTCATCCGTATGTTAATGGCGAATTTCAACATGAACACGATGACTTCATTTTCTCATCTGTTAGGATCTTCTACGAAGATTCCTATGTTGATTCCAGAGTACTATGATCAGTGGGCTAATCGAATGGAGGATTACTTGAACGGAGTGGACGAGGAACTCTAGAGCTGCATTATAGGAATAACTCAACCTCCTTCAAATGTTCAACATATTGGATCATCTGGATCAACACCTGCAGTTACTGATCAATCCACCAGGCTGAAGAACAATGAAAAGCGTTGTTTGAGAGAATTGCGAGGTCCTTGCCACCTGTTGTTTACAATTACATCCGTGGATGTAACACTGCAAAAGATATTTGGAATACTCTTAAGGAAAAATATCAGGGAAACGAGAAAACAAAGATAAATTCTGTTAAGCAGTGTCTTGTGGAGCTGAAAGAGTTCAGACAAAAAGAGAGTGAAACTATTGAAGTTTACAATGATCGTCTTAATGAACTGGTCTATAGATGCAATCGTTATGGAATCACAAGGTCATCAATGGAGTTCAATCACACTTTTGTGATGGGACTTCGTAAGGGGTGGAGAAGTGTCAGCATGATGGTGAAGAATCAACAAAGCTTAGATACTTCATCTCTGAATGATTTGTATAATCAGTTGAAAACTCACGAAAGTGAAGTGAATGAGATGGCTGAAGAGTCGAAACGAAGTTTGGGAGGTCCTTTAGCTCTTATTTCGAAAGTGTCTGAGAAAGAAGCTGTTGAGAAAGACGATTCTAATGAAGAAGGCCTTCTAATGAATTCGGATGATGAAGCGATTGCTTTTTACTCGAACAACCGAGTTAAAAAGTTTTTCAAGAAACCTTTCAATCCTAAGGTGAATCAGAGTGATGTGAAAGGAAGTTTCGTAAATAAGTCTGTGGGTGAGGAGAAGAAGAAATTCGAGAAGAATGATGTGAAGGCAACTGAAGCCAAAATTAAGAAGAAACTTAAGGGAGATTCGGGTATTGACTGTCATTACTGCAACGGAGCAAATCATTTGGCTAATGATTGTATGCTTCGTAAGAAAGAATAGAAAAAGAATAGGGTCAAGGACGAAGCTTATTATGTTGAAATATTGGAAAAAGTTCGTGCAAAGACGAAGGGGTTATCTTTGGTTGCTCAAGGCGAAGGTGAG